AATGCTTAAGCGGGAGTTAACGCCTTGTTAGACCCTAGAGAAGCTATTGCTCAGTTTCTCCCTGTGTAGATCCTCTGATGACTAATGAGGCACAAAACCCAATCAAGGATTTTTCTGCTGTTTGGGTAGTTATAACATCTTTCTCTTCCTCGCGAAGTCTGGGTTCTGATACGCAGTGAGCGCACATGGTGCTCCTTGTCTCAGTCGTGATCTCTCATTTCTGACTGCAGCCACCTCTTTCCTGGGCCACGGGGGAATATAAAATACTCATGGAATGGTGAAGTGTCGTTTGGAGTTAGTCAGCTATCACAGCAGACTGATAACACATTGATGACAGGTTAGTTGGGTTTGGATCTAGTTTCTAGTTAAGCTTAGCATTTTGGGCTGCTTGTATTCAAGTTTCTGATGTTCAGTGGTATTTCTGAATGGAGTAGAAAGCACACGAAGCTTGACTTTTCCTGGGAGAGGAAAGCCTCATATCTCTTTAAAAGATTTATACTATTTTAAAGCTACTTAGCACAAGCTTTACTCTTTTATTCTCTCTCCTCCACCCCCATAGCAATACATGGTAAGGTTTCTAATGCTGTGTGAGTCTGAAAAATGATTTGGAAATGAATTTCTGTACAGCAAATACTTTCTGTGTTAGAAGTTGTCCTAGTGAACCAACTGCATCTCTTCTGGCTCTGTACACATGCACATTGCCATAAGAGATGGGAGTGAGGGATCAGAAATGGGGGTGCTCTTGCTTCTGGTGTTTGTATAGGTTGTGAGCACAGCATTTGTCTCCTCTTCTGCTCTTGTATCTTGTGAGGCTAAAAACGTCTAGGTAAAAGGACTAAATCTCAGCTCCTGTGAGAATTTCCAAATTGATGTTCCAGGAAAAAAAAATGTTGGAATTATACACGCTTTTATCATTTCCATTTTAAAAAACAAACAAAATATGTAACAAAACATTTGCTGCTCACAGAAGGATTCCCTGGAGTGGGGAGAAGGGGATTGCTGAGGTTCTTGCTGTCTTCTCCCTCACCTTCAGGATGCTATAAATGTTTGATTAAGTTATGCTGGATACTGTGTTGTCTTCTGGGCTACTAAAAACACAGGATAAGGAAAGAGCTTTCTCACATCAATGTGTTTCTTTATGTCTTTTTTAGGAGCGTTGTTTTTATGTAGCGAGTCCATGAGAGTTTGACATTGGATGACTTTATAAAATATCCTACTAATTGGATTTGTTAAAATAAATAAATCAAACGCTAATTGGAACGTGCCCTGCCATTATTTTTGCTTACTGAATTAGATATAATGGCATGGAGTCCTTTTTATCGTATTTGTGCACTTATTTAAACACCCCCCCGGCACCCAGTTCTGCAAATTCAATTATATATTCAAAGGAGGCATTCAATTTATGCAAGGCTGGTTTACATTTAATCCGGGGGCAAGACTCGGTAGCTGATGATAGGTCTGCTCAAGATTAATTAGCATCACTCAGCTGAGCGGCCGCATTGTTACGAGCCTGCAGAGTGAAACAAGGGATGTTTTATCCGTCCTCTGTGAGCTCCTCTGTGCGTCGGGGTGACCCCTTCCAGGCAGGGAAGGATTTTGCTCTTGCTTGGGTTTCATCTCATGAAAAGGAAGGGTCAACATCACACACGTATTATCTGCCACCATCAAAGTCACCATCATTTCCTTTTCTTTTCAGCTCCTTTTAGCAGCTTTGTTTTCCGCTATTAGTTTTTAGCTGATTGATAGATTCCAAGATTCCCCTTTGCTTCTGAATATCCTTGCCCTCATAACAGCTAATGAAGATGGAGAAGCACCTTCTGGTTGTTGTGTGGATGCTTTTGTTTTCCTCAAAGCGCCTTTGTGATACGGTAGCTAAAACTGTAACATGCAAACCAGGTACCTCAGTTCAAACTATAGGATCTTTTTCTTTCAAATTGTGGATTGTTTCCTTTTTTCTTCCTCTATTGGCTAATGAATAGGTCTGTTCCACTGCCAAGCGGGTGGGTTTCACCAGTGGATGATTATGCATTAAGAGATCCTTACCCATTTGTGTTTTAATTTATTTCAGCGTACTTAGATGTAGTTCACGTTTAGGTATCTGCACAGGTGACATTTTATGAAGAGGTTCTAGGCAATAAGCTTGCACTGACGGTGAATATCTGCTGGTTTTATTTGGCTTCCCCGTTTTGAACTTATTATTTGTACTTAAGTGGGCTTTAAAATCTATTAATACCTTGGCAGATTAACCCGAAATTCCTTAGTGGAGGCAAAATTTCCAAGGATCTTGCTGCTAGATAGTTGCGTAGCCCACAAAGCCGGTCACGCAGTGTCATCGTGCTAGGAGTAGCTGCACAAGGTCCCCGTGCATCTCCTGGCCGGGTGTCCCAGGTGGAGGACGGGGGCCCAGTCCTCACCAAGCCAAGATCTGATTGCGGAGGTGGTGACATGGTGCAGCTGAGCAATATTCCCAAATACGGGATTCATTCCTTGTACTTCCTGAAGTTTCTTTCCTCTTACGTTGTGTTGTCCACGCTGTATTAGGCAGTGCTGGTAGAAAGGCTGCAGGTGTTTCAGCAGCCCCTGAGTATGGCTTACATTGGGGGTCGTTTTTGCTCTCTTTTGACCCACGTGGGAGCAAACACACGGATAGATGTTTTCTTCCTTTTGAGATCCAAGATCCAACCTTTCCATGCTTACTGCTTGCCTCTGCCCTTGAATTTGACTTGAGGTTTTTCTCCCCCTTCTTGTGTACTGCAAATTCACCTCTCCAAATTGCAATTTTGGTGCTTCTGGTAAATGAGTCCTTCCAGTTTATTGCCTTGTCACTCTGTGTTTGCAGGTTCCTCCACTAACTTTTCCTTTTGGAAGTGCAGGCATCTTGCTGCTACGTTCAAGGCTCTTCATAGTTTATCCTTACTTGTCTTAGGCAAACTCAGTGTCTTACTAGAAGGTCAACCTTGACTTTCAGACATGGCACTTGCAGGCTTCCTTTAGTATCTGATCTTTTTGGGGGAAACTCCCAGATACTTTCCTGTAGTTCTAGCTGTATTCTCTTCTCAGCTTCCCTGATTTTATCTACTTCATTATGTATAAAATAACCTGCTACCTGCTGATATGATGTGATGATGTGATAGCAGCAATTACATTCTCTCTTAAATAAGGACTGTGCCTTGTATTTTTACACAGGTAATGAAGCGCCATAAATACTTGGAGGGAACTCTGCTGAGACAGAGACAGCCCGGGTTGTCTATAAAATATGTACAATCTATCAAAAATATATATGAAAATTGAAATTGCTATTAGTATTTTAGGACAAGCTTCAAGTTAAACTTTTCTTTAGCAACGCCATGGTTTGGGATATCAGGGTTTTGGATATCATTCTACAAATCCCCTTAATAAATACTTGATTAAGTTTTAGTAGTAAATTATTTATGTTAAGTTTTGTAGAATTTACTGGAAAATGCTAGAAAATGCACTAGAATGCACATAAAGTCATTTAATAGAGTAAAGATTTAACGGAGATAATGATTCGAAGTGTATTTGGGTTTAAGATATATGAAGTATTTTAGAGGAACCAAGACATGTTTGGAACTTAGAGAATAAGAAAATGCAAGTGATCACTGAAGACGTAAATATCCCCTGTGTTGGGTGACCCTTTTTGCAAAGGAGCCACTGATCACTTGTTCTGGCTGTTTATTGTGGATTTTCAGATGACACAGCCCGTGGGAAGGAGTCAGAGACATCTCTGTGCATCTAATTCTCCCATTAGTGTCAAGAGCAATTGGCAGTTTGGCTGGCAGAACAAGTTAACGTAGCCTTGAGCGCTGCTGAGTCCTCTCGACTCCAGGAGTGCTAGATGTGTCCAGTTGACTTTGGAGCACTAGTGTCTATGCAGAAAAGTTATCCTTGCTTCTCAGAGAGAGAACACCACAGCGGAACAGAGCTCCTGAATGCAAGGTTAAGGTATGGACTCCAGGGCCTAGGCTGCCTTTCTTAATGGATTCAATGCAGGAATGGGTTTGACAGCCCACCTTGGAAGGAGGTGAAGAGGAATGAGCCTGAGGCCATGTAATCAGCGCCAACACAGGGCTGATTATTCTGAGACTAATCCCAGCTAGCTTGATTTGTCTGCGTGACGCAAATTTTTAAAATCTGCGCTGTAATATAACATTTCACATTTCACATTCTTTGTGGGTTTCAAACGTTCGGAGAGCTGTCATGGTGTTTTTTTTTTTTTTTTTTTAATTGACACTTAAACACAAGTATAGCAGGAATTGCAGTAGGAAAGATCATCTGGTCAACAGCTTGGGATGGGTGGAATTGCCATCCCATCTCCTTGTTGTTCTCATTATAAAAGGAAAGCTTCTACTCTAAAGTACTGTAGACCTTGAGGACAAGTCAGGACCATGTGAAGCTCCGTGTTGGTATCTGTGAAAGATGGCTGAAGGACAAGTTAGTCTTTACAGCAGTTATAACCCAACTGTGTATAATTCAAGTATTAAAAGTGAAATGAAGCGAAGACTTTTAATTATTTTTATTTACTTATTTTGCTGTAAGAGTAGTGGAACTGTGGCTGTGTCTTCAATGCGTGGGTTGATTCTTCCTTCTTTTTGAATATTTGATTTGAAAATATTTCCACTTAGGTACCAGTTCCTGGGACCCAAACTGAAATATGCATGCACAAGTTCATTGTGTGTAACCGTGCTATAAAATCTTAAGGCAAAAGGTGAAATTAAGCTAACTGGTCTGAGGAACAGCAGCATGGAGGTGGGGAAAACAAGGGCATCTAATGGATTCAAGTGATAAAAGATTCAAAAATTATTTTCCACGTAGCTCCAAGGCACTTCGTCCCTGGTGCCTGAAACCTAATATACTGATTATTATTATTACTATTATTTCTTCATCTTGGAATTTTGGATACAAAATGCTCATGTAAATGAACTAGCATAATGAGAATGAATACATTTTCATACTAATTATTTCTTTTTTCTTGTCTTTAGGTGGTTGCTCATTTGATGAGCACTACAGTAACTGTGGTTATAGCGTGGCTTTGGGGACAAATGGATTTACCTGGGAGCAGGTTAATACCTGGGAAAAGCCAACGATGGACCCTGCTGTTCCAACTGGTGAGTAGGAAACTTCAACAACAGGGCAGAATTTTTACCAGCGTTATCAATTGTGAGGATCAACTATTAGCTCAAATGAATTTTATTCAGTGCTGAGAAACCGATTTTTGTGTTCAAAATAATTTGGCAACAGAATCATAAATGTGGGATGGCTTTTTAGTGTCAGTCACTTGATGTCTTCTGATGTCTTTGCTAAATTTCAGAAGAGTTTAGTTTAGAATGCTAAAGTTAATGTCTTAGTATATTGGCTTTTCAGAACTTTAAGTTTTCATATGCAAGAAAAATATTTTCCACAGAGGGAGTTACCAGAATATCTAAGTTGCTAACATATATTGAGAACATCCAGCAACATCTTCCACAAGGTACTTGAAACATTCTCTGGAGATGTCCTAGTAATGATGTTTTCTGGAAGTTTTGTTTCTCACTGGAAATGAACATTGTGTGCTAATGTGTATGGGGATAAATTCTCTATCCTTTCTAAAATACTGTGGAATGCTGTGTTGGAAAAGAACTTGTTTTTTAGAAAGTTCATTAAGATTTTTCTAAAATTTCTACTTCACCTGCTGCTTTTGTGACCTAAAATAACAGAGCGATCTCTGTTGAAGTCATTCATATAATGGCAAGCAGCACTGACCAGCCATTTAAGATTTTGCTTTCAATTCTAAGAAAAGATGGATTTGTTTCAGTTAGTGTCTTGCACTCTGAGAAGCATGAGCAAAGTTGCAGAATCAACATGTGTAGTGCTCAAGAGGTACTTTTACCCCTCTGTTTCCTGGGAGGAGAGATGTGAAGTTGCTAAGTGCCTGTTTAGGTCAGAACGCGTATCTGATAGAACAGCCTCTCCCTGCTGTAGCTGTTGGCAGAGAGCTGGTGGTACTAGAGTTGTCAACAAAAAACTTGCATGCAGGGCACCAAGCTCACTGCTGTCAACAAAAAACTTGCATGCAGGGCACCAAGCTCACGGCGACTTCCCCATTACCGGGAGTCAGTGCAGCTTTTGTGTCATGTCTTTGATGAGAAACTGTTTGGAGCAAGATCTTTCAAAGCGTACAACACCTTGTGTCACTTGATCTGGCCCGGCTATCCTAAAGTTAACGGAAGTTAACTACTGCTTTCTGGTCTCAGCTGTGTTCATTCCAAATGTGTTGCCATCTTAGTGAGGGCATTTTTGTCCCTCTGGTACCGTAGCATCCTGCCTTTGTGTCATACTCCCTTTTGCCAGTGCACCTAGCCAGAGAGACAGGACGGATCTTTGAATTAACTGGTCCCAGAACACTGTGAAGGACCAAACATGAACGATTTTAAGACAAATTGGAAGGCAAGAAATAAATGGAAAGGCTTGCATGGCCTGGAGGAGCTTGATGTCAACTCTAAGTGTTAATGTGAGTCTAACTTCAGGCACCTGGGGACTATATGACAGTGTGTTACTGTCCTAATCTCATTAGAACCACAGAAAAATAACAAAGAATGGTCTGAAATGGCATGCTAAAAAAACAAACCTACACAAAACCCCGAAACCATCAGTAACAAAACATACAAGGTATTGTGTATGCCTCACAGGGCTTTCAGAATTAATCCTCCTAAAACTAAGCAAATACAGTAAGTTATATGATCTTCCTTTTAATACTTTAATTTTATCATATCTTATAGCAGCCCTAATTATTAAATGCATAGGGGTCTCAAAGCAGCTGTGAATTTAATAATGTTGGACCTAAAATAAGAAATGCAGGAAATTTTTTTGTGTACTTAGAAATATGCATCAGGTGAATCTGCGAACCACCTGGAAGATGCTGATAAAGCAATAATACCTAAAGAAACTTTGGGAAGTGTGAATGGAAATGACTCAGTTCCTCATATTGCCAGACTATTCAATTCATGTAGAGCAAGAGAACATTGCCTGCTGACAATATGAACGGATGCCTCCAGTAGCAAACATGGTTTTGAGCACTGTCCACATGGCACTAGCCTTGAAGTAAATTATTGTGGTCAGTTAGATTGCCTCGAGCTAGCAGAAACACTAGAGCTGCTGTTGGGAGTCTGTCCTGTTGAACATAAGTGGAATACATTTTCTTTGTATTGACTGCACCCTAAAAATCTGTTTTGCAAAGATAAAGGATATTTGCTTCAAACTCACCTAGTAGTAAAGCCACCTAAATAAACTGATGAATGACACATTCTGCTCCTGCAAGTGGGGACACCTTTAAAACTGGAGTACCGGACCAGTGGGAAAATGCAATTTTCCATTACACCTGATTTCTTTGCAGCAGTGGAAAGCAGCAGGGGGTTCCTCTACGGAGCTGCAGCAGTTAGAGGTGGTATCAGAGATGCTGGTGAGCTCACCATGCTCTGGTGGCCAGCGCTAGCCAGGAGAGCTCCTCTCCTTTGGGGAGTTGGGAGCCAGAGAGCCAGGTTTCATAGGGTCCTGCAGAGGTGGGCAGCGATGCAAAGCACCTTGCAGGGATACTTTTCCAGCAGGAAATATAATAAAATGCTATGTTGTGGAATCCTGAGAGTGGAAATGGTGGGGAAAAACCCTGAATGGGCCTTGAATTAGTCGAAAGATACTAAATAAGTCTGCAGCGCAGCCTGCTGGGGGCTGTGGGCAGGAAGCGGGGCCTCCACCCGGCCTGGTCGGCCTACATTAACATTTCCCTCAGCGCTATTTTCCTCTGTAAATGTGTTGCCTTTCAGAAGCACCAGCAGGCCCCTTTGAATTCAACCAAGCCACAGAATTCTGCCCTCCTGCATACTAATGATAATATCTCACACGTCTTGCAGTGCTTTTCATCGTTAGAGCTCAAAGTGCTCTTCAAAGGAGGTCAGTGCCACGTGTGCGAGCTGAGTCTATAGTGTCTGCTGCCACCCTGCCACAGAGGTCTCTGCCCAGGGACAGCTCTCTATTCTCAGTTGTTTTTTTTTCTTTTTTCTTCCTTTTTTTTTTAAAAAAAAAATTAAAATGTCCTGAAAAGAGCAATTAAAATGCTCCATTAGCAATGGAGCTAGTTTGCAGGCAATTTGTTTTACATCTTTGCTAGCAAATAGGCTGCTTTTTGTGAGTTCTATAATTTATTCCTCAGGGCCGGAAGCAATGTTAATTGGAGGATTAATAACCAAAATATTTTGTTGTTTTGAATAAATACCTCAAAAATCAGGAGATGAAAGGTGAGTAGCCAGTCTCCTGACTTTGAAACTGTTGTTCCATGTCTTTATATAATAGCAGGAGAGATTATAGCAGCAGGTTATTCTTTAACAGATGGGTGTTTATTTGAACCCAGACAGCCTTACCGATGAGTGTTCTCCATCCTTTTGGCTACTTATTCCAGTAACCGTTTGAGTTGCAAAGTTTCTCAGTCTCCATTTTTCCCTCATTTTTTCCTTCCTTCTTCATGTTGCAACATTGCAGTACTCCAAGCACTGTGGACCTGCCTGCCCTTGCTGCAGTTGTAAGAATAATGTTCATAATGAAAGTATTTAACATTTGCATGTTCAAAGCACTTTACCAGCATTTACTAATTAACTCCAATGGAGACCTAACCAGGGCTGACTTGATTGGAGTAATTACTTTAATTGTATTAAATATGATCCCACTCTGAATACCAAGCTGTTATGCCACGTGCCTTTCTGCTGCAGCATTCCTCAGTGCTAGATTCACTGTTAACCTTGTGGAAAATGTCACTAAGTTTTAGTGTTTTTGTGAGATTATTTCTGTGGCATTTTTCAGAAGAAGACAACTAATATCCCACCACTGGTTCTGAAGCCCACTGGCATGTGTAATGTGTTTGTGCTTCCCCTGGTTGCAGTGGAGCTAAAGGATTTGACCTGTTTTCTATTGCTCCAGAAGGCGCTGGTAGGTTAGTAGCAAATGGATAATAAACTACGTAGCATAGTATGTGAGCTTGGAGAAGGAGTCCTGTAAACGGTGGACGCCTGGAGATGGTCAGCAAGGTTAAGGCACAAGTGGGTTCCAGGTTGCTTACGTGCCTGTACTCCATATTCAGGTGAGATGAACCCAACTCGGGAGTTGGTGAGTGTGTGCAGCTCCTCATTTTCCTTCAATACATTGTGGTACCTCACCGAAAATTTATGGCAGATTTTTCTTCGCTGTTGTGGCAGATGTGAGGGCTGGGGACCTTCCCCTTATCTAGCTGGGTATGTTTGTGGGTTCTAGTGGCTGGAGGGCTCTCTGAGCTGCTTGCTGGAAGGAAGAACAGAAGGGTTATCATCATTAGCATTGCTTCGTGAAGTACCCAGTTAGCTGGTGAATGTCAGAGGCAGGATGTATATCTGAGTACCATATGGCTAAATTCTACCTGGACTCCACTGAACTGAGTGAAGTTTAATGTTAGTCTAATGGATCAAATGTTCTTCTGTCACCTTCCTCTCCATGATGAGTGACACCATGGAGTTAGTGTGAGTGAATAATTACAGAGCAGCCCTTACTGAGGAGGGGAAGATGACAGCCTTCCATCTATGCCCACAGGATTCTTTAACTTAACTCAGAAGGTCAGTGAATGTAAAAATAATGTTAACTTTTACAAGGGACAGAGAGCCTTGGTGCACGGGTCAGATATTTGTTGTCTATTTTCCTTCAGGCTGGCAAAAAATGCCAAGAGGAGTTAAATACAACATTTATAAATTTGAAAGGCAATGCAATAAAACTAACATTTTCTTCTGTCTGAGTGTATTAATTTTTGCTTACAAGAAAATACACCAACAAACTTGTTAAAGGAATAAATTAAAAACCAACTGTGTGTATGATGAATCATGATCCAATTTTGTCTGAGATGGAGAAAGAAATTTGACTCAGCTGCGTATATTATTTTTTCCTTTAAAAAAAAATCAAGGGAAATTACTAAGGATGTGGGAAATATGTTTCTTCACAGTCTTTCACTCCCGTACAAGTAAATAAATTAGTCTGCGGTTAGGAAATGAACTAAAAGTCATTTCTTAGCTTTCAAGTTCTAGGCAAAATTGGATCTCTGGATGATTTCCAGAGCGCG